CAGCGGGTGGGTGTGGATGATCACCTCATTCGGCCTCCATCAGATGTGACCCCTCTTCCTCCAACGGTTGTGCGGCAGACGGAAAGAGAAGGGGTCCCCACCTTCATTCATGTCGTTGGAGACTCCCAGAATGAGGGTGAGCACCTGAACGGCTGGAGAGGCTTCTAGAAAAAGCGAAAATCCAAAGTTGATGTTTCGAGTTCCAGAGGTTATTGTTCGGCAACTTTGGAGTTTGCAGGGATCGAGGCCGTCACAAGTATCTTGCAACGGCATCCAAGATCATTGATGAAGCATTCCGATCGTAATCTGTGGACCAAAACGCCGCGCAGCTTTCGCTCGGTTTCGGTGAGGAAGTAGTGGGGAGCGTCAGATGGTCCGTCGGGCTGTTAGCTGCTGACTACCAGAGACCGGCGCCGATTTAGATGCGAAATCTATAGCCCTTTGACTGCACCCAGCATCAAGGTAGGTAGACCGTAGCAGTCTCGATGACAAGTAGACGCTCAATTGTCGTTAATACGAAATTAGTACCTAGATCAATTTCGAACGAATGATCCAAGCCACCAAGAGAAGTCGATATTCGTCAAGGTATTCATAACGCACTCGTTCCTTTCGAGAAGGAGAATGCTGCGGTGGATGACTCGCAAATCATGAATGTGGGGGGAAAAACGGTCAAGTGACCCGAACGGAAACCTAGACCCCAGGAAGTCCAAGCATGCTAGTTGCGGCGCTGCCATGGCATTTTTGGCAGGCATTGACATGGCATCCTGCAATATTGCCCAAGGCAATGTGTGAATATAGACCAACCACCGTGACACCTTATGCTCCGGTGGCCTGCTCGCCCGCCACAATTGCGACGGCCGAGAAAACGCGGCCTCCGACCGTGCCGGGGCTCCGGCTGAAAGGGGATCCATCCGCTCGAGCTGGTTGCGAACCTGCGACATCTTACGCCATCGTCATATGAAATGTTTGGACTATCCACGGCGGACGTCTGGAATACAGTACTGTGTACGTGGTGAGCTCACCCATAGTTTCGAGCTTGGTAACGGTAGGCTGGCCTCTCGCAAACCCTAATTGTCCTGATGATAGAGGACCCCGACATTTCTCAGCGGTTATCTGTCATTCGTATGTAGGTATGTGCGACGATCGACGGCCGTGTGCTTAAACTGCTTGCGTAATATTACCTCACTTTCGTAAGTTGATGATTCAAAAAGGGAACCAGTTATCGGGCCAACGCCACACATATCAACGTTGATCATCCTTGTGGAAGCCCATCAAGAGTACGGATAAAGCACTGCGATACTGTGAGCGCCAGAGAGAGAAACTCATCTGTTGACCGTTTCCGTCCAAGAGATGATTACCCCAAGTTCTGGGTCGGGCTAGGGTGGCTGGGCAGCAAGGGATCGGTTTGGGGGGGATTGACCACGTGCATGTGAAGTGCAGCCCACGGCCTCGTTCGATTGGCAGAGGCCGCAGGAGAAGCAGTCAAAGTGCCAAGCGCCGTGCCGGGCCCGGATTGGGAGCGTCCACCCGAGTTGGTTGATTGCTGGCGGGAGACTACTGGTGACAGTAGAATTGGGGCATCTCTGACTGGTCTGTACGGATAGACGGTTGAGATAGGCTTGGATGCATACAGTTATTGGAGTTTGGAGACAGAAGGATGCATCTGCTTCAAGTCCGTCAATGAACCAGTACCCAATGAGTAGGTAAGATAGATCGTGGACCACAAATGGCCGAGCAGCATCAGCCAATGCAATGCAGCCCAAGAAACAACGTGCTTTGCTTCCCATACCGCCTCATACAGTGCAACATTGACGGTTGGCGCATTGCAAAGCAAAGGGCTCCAGCCGGTTTCGTAAGCCTAGACCAGTGGCCCCCCAATGGACCGTGGACCATGGACGCCCCCTTGCCAGTCAGAACAATGGACAAACTGGAACCCTCTGGAAGCTGCGTAAAGAGACAGCTGTTGTCGATGATGATCGTAGCGAACAAGCAAACAGATCATGGAGTGCCGATGTGAAGTGACGAAAGTAGGGGGTCCCTGAGGATTGTGATTGAGTAAGATCCAAGCAATTGAAAGTCTGAATTGACGTGGACGGAATCAATGGCATTGAACTGCATTGGATGGTGAGGAGGAGACATGGATGATGGATGATGGGATCCGAGGAAAGAAGGGGGAAAGGTGGAGATGCCTTGGCTGATTATGACTGTTCCTTCCCTTGTATCCATACGCATGCGCAGTACCTCAGGTACTGTGTAGGTTTTCCCACTGGGCCGGTGAGCTTGGCCGCTTTTTTTGGTGGCTGCCACCCCTTGAGACTGCCATTGCGGCCCATTGGAAAGTGGCACGGCACGGCTGGGTGGCGGTTGCTGCGTGCTGCACAGTGGACAGCCCAAGTGATGGTCCCCTTGGCTGGGCTGCTTTCTCCGCCACGCTAGACGTTTCCACCCTTTATTATTTTTTTCTGTAGGAGGGAGATATGGCCTTTCCGCTGGGTTTTTATTCACCACTCCGCCCGCCGCCGCCGTCTCTTCCCAATTCCCCTCTTCTTACCTTCCCCATCGCAACGCTTCACCGCCGATATCCTGCTCGCCTCACCCGCAACAACCGCCGTTCAAGAAGGAAAAAACAAGGACAAAACATCAACGCAAATCCTCGCCCCCGCGCTACTACATCAATCGATCTACACAAATCGACAACAGCCTCATCAGCTAAACCAACAAAACCCACACCACCTTTTCAAGAAAAGACTACCAACGTCGCTACTTGACTCTCGCCTCACTTTTCAAATACCAACCACCAACTCATCGACGATCCGGTTCCGATTTCCCGAGAATCGACCTCCCAAACCAATTCTACCTCAACACCAGATTTTAGCTACCAAACCCCGAAAATCAATCGCAATGGCGCCCATGAATCAGGTCAACAATTACAGTAGTAGTAATTATGGTGAGGCCATTGTCCGTCAGGCCAATGTCCTCGCCAGCTGCTACATCGTCGATTCCGCCGCGACTCTTCGCGGTCTCCACTACTGCACTACCGGCGCCGCAGGTACGTCGCATCCTTCCCATTCCACAGCAGCACAAGCACATGTCTCTCTTCCCTCCTTCCTGCCTCCCCCATGTGTGCCCATCTTCAACCTCAAACTTGTAGATACGCCGCCGATCACTCGGGGTTGTTGTCTCTTGTAAACTTCCCATCCCCTACGATCCCCGCTCACTTGCATCACCCATCCCCGGAAACTTGGTAAACTACATGGATCATGGACTGACAGATCTTGGAATCAACAGGGGCCGAGTGGTATTCCTGAGGTCCCCTCCTCAGGACTACCATCCCCTCCTTCAAGTCCCCCCCTCGCGGCCATAACGGCATCCAACGAGCTCGCTCTGCTTCCCAAGGCCAGTAGCAGCAGCTCCAAGAGGCGCGATACCGTGCCCGGCAAGAGGATTAGCCGCAGAGGGGGGGCAGCACTTTCGATCAGGGAAGAATGTGAAAGGTTCTTTTGTGAGTCCATGAGGGCTGTGTTCCGCGGTGAGACGGACACTGGCTCGCGTGGCTCCGGCCTGCATCAAGGTGCTTATTACTACAACAACGGCAGCAGCAACGCCAACAACATGCTGCCCACTCCGCCGCCAGACGAGGACTTGGCCGTTCAACCGCACGTCCCGTTCGGGGGACGCGGCGGGGACGGTGCTGAGGGCTTCACGGCTCCTACCGCACCGGCCCCGGCCACCGCGTGGTTGGAGGTTTGGGACTTTGCCGGCGGCGCGAGTTTCAGGGCCTTTGTGGCGGACGACGGGGCTGAAAAGTCCCTGTTCGCCCTGTTTGACAGGAATGTCATTGGACGTGACCTGAAGCCTGCGTATGTTACACACACCCCCTATCTGTCTTAGACCCCGTTACACGAAGAACCCTTGGCTAACATTCCTTCCAGACTTATGGCGCTGATGGAGCTGGTCGATGGACCGCTCAACTGCCAACACCTGGTCGTCTGCATCGACCGGACCATTGAGGAGGAGGATGCAAAGTCGCTGATGAAGAGCCTGCAGTGGATCGGCTTCGAGTTGACTACGCTGGATCAGTGGGCGAGAGATGTGGACGTGACGAGCAACCTGTGGCTGTTTATGAGCATGGAGATCTAGCATTACGTACCCCGGACAGCCTTTCATCGTCCGCGTTCTGTTTGGAAGGCGGTTTCCCCTTTCTCACTCATCAGTTCTTTGAGCTTGGCAGTTGGGGAGTTTTGGCTTTTTCAGGCGTCTTCGTCTCTCGTCTTTTCCAGTGTTTACACGGCATCGCGGGCTAGTTTCTCTGCTAGCAGATGCTCTCTCTTTTGCTTGGGGTACGCACTTTGGTCTTTTCCTCTTCGGTACACAAACAGCTCGAGCTTGGAACAAAAACAGCAGGATACGGAATTTGTGTTGGGAAAAAAGGAGGAACCGTCAAAAGCATTGAACGCAAAGGGATTCAAGTCTCGTGTTTTGGGCATCTTTCTCTATCTCGCATCTGTATCTGTACGCTAAAAGTTGAAGGGCTGTTTCTTTTTCGTATACCCTTGAGGCTAGTGTTGTTCAGGAACTAGCCAAAAGGTCTATTTTTTTGGGACCTGAAGCAATCACTCTATCGTGTTTGGGATATGTTATTTTCACTCTTCTCCTTGAACTTCACACGGCTATACAAGCATAGCAGCAGTATGAAATTGCAATATGAGGAAGTTTCTCTCTTTGTACGTCTACTATTCGGGCCAATGCGAGCGTCAAGATTGTCAACCACAGAACTCAACTCCAGGCTTTTCCATAAAAATGACCATCAATATCAAAAACGTTTCCAAAACGTCTAAGCTGGTTTTTTGTCTCTTTCACTCGAAGGGCCAGTGATCCGCCCGCCCTCACTCTCCCCTCTTGTCCCAAAGTCACAAGGGAAAAGCAATGGCCGGCGTTTCTTCGCCCTCTTTTCCTTCATTCTAACCAAGGTACGCCAAAGCTCAAGACAACACGACACTTCAAATGGTCTCCTCAAACTGCCTCACCTTGAGCCCCTTGTCGGCCAAGAAATCCTTGACCTGCTTGACGGTATACTCCCCGCGGTGGAACATACCCGCCCCCAACGCGGCGTCCGTCGTCGTCTTGGCAAACACCTCTTCAAAGTGCGCCGGCTCGCCCGCGCCGCTGGACGCGATGACGGGGATCTTGACGGCGGCCTTGACTTGGGAGATGAGCTCGAGGTCGAAACCGCTGTTGGTGCCGTCCTTGTCGATGCAGTTGAGCAGGATCTCGCCGGCGCCCATGGCCTCGACGGCCTGGGCGAGCTCCACGACGTCCATGTCGCGCGTCTCGCGGCCGCCCTTGATGGTGCAGGCGTACCAGCAGTACTCCTCGCCCTTGGGGCCCGGGCGGGGCGTCTTGAGGATGTTGTGGCGCGTGGCGTCCGTGTTGGGGACGTAGACGCGCTTGGGGTCGACGGAGACGACGACGGCCTGGTTGCCGTAGGCTTTTGAGATTTGCTCAATGGCCGTGTTGCCGAAGAGCTTGCGTCCCGCGCCGTGGTATTCTTCCGCCGCGAGGACGGCGTCGGAGCCGATGGAGACCTTGTCGGCGCCGGATTTGAAGTACATTGTCGCGATCTCGAGGGCCGAGACCTTGGTGCCGTCCGTGTCGACGGTGTCGCGGATGCCGCCGCCGATGGTGAGCGGCACGAAGACGGTTTCCGAGGTGCGGCGGAGGATCTCGAGCATGGGCACGTCGGCCAGGGGGCAGTCGCGGAAGCTGGTGATGTTGAGGAAGGTGACTTCGTCCGCGCCCTGCTCGTAGTAGCGGCGGGCCATCTCGACGGGCTTGCCGAGGTTGCGGACGGCGCCGCCTTCGGACTTTTCGCGGACGTCGTACTGGTCGCCCTTTGTTACGACGAGGTCGCCCTGGTCGTTTGTGCGGACGTCGAGGCAGGCGATTACGCGGCGGGTGAGGCCGTCTTGGTAGGGGGCGGCGGTGGTGGTCTCGACGGCGGCTGATGGTGTAGCACCTCCGGCGGCGAGATTTGCGGCGCCGGAGCCGTCGAGGAAGGCGCGGAGGCAGCGCAGGCCCGCGGCGCCGGACTTTTCGGGGTGGAACTGCGTCGCGAAGATGTTACCCCTGGCGAGGGCGCCGACGAACGTCTCGTCGCCGTAGGTTCCCGTCGCGACGGTCCACCCTTGGGCCTCGAGCTCGCCGCGGACGTAGGGGTATTTGTAGGTGTGGACGTAGTAGTATTTCGAATCCGGTCGGAGGTCGTAGAGGCTCGCGCCGCCCGTGTTTGCGCTGTTCCAGCCGATCTGTGGGACGGACTTGGTGGAGGCGTCGAAGCGGTCGAGGCGGCCCTTTACGACGCCGAGGCCGGGGACGTCGGGGTCCTCGAGGGAGCCTTCGAAGAGGGCCTGGATGCCGACGCAGATGCCCATGAAGGGCTTGCCTGAGGCGATGTGGGCGGAGATGGCGGGGAGGAAGCCGGCTTGGGAGAGTTGGGAGAGGCAGTGGCCGAAGTGGCCGACACCGGGGAGGATCAGTTTCTGGAAGGGGGAGGAGAGGTTAGCTGAACTGAAGGCTTTTCCTATGGTATAACGAAACTAAATGCTTACTTCTGCTGAGGGAACATCTTCCGGCCTTCTAATCCACTCGACTTCGTAGCCGACCTTCTCGATGGCGTTCACCAAGCTGCGAACATTGCCCGCGACGTAGTCCAAGAGGTGGACCTTTGGCATTGTGGGCAAACTGGAGGAAAAAGTGTGCGTTGAAGGGTTGGGTATATTGCAAGTCTATAGAACAGAAAGTAGATCAAATATTTGGAACGAATAGAATGCGACGTTATAAGTATCGTCAATCGACGAGGGATGTCAAGTGGTGAGTCAACAGAGCGGGATGTGTTCAAGTCCGATTGTGAGTCGTAGGGCGTCGCCTCTGGGAAATTTACTTGCGATAGCGGGGCAGAGGGGTTGTGACTGTGAGCATGGAAAGTCCAGCAGCTGCCCCGCACCAGCAAGCAGCGGCCCCTGTTCAATTGACCTCTGGCCTGTGCCAATCCGCCGTCGAATTGACTGGGGGCGGGTAAGCTTCTTTCCCTTGGAATGGGAATTCTGCAGTTATCTTCAACATTGGAGCTTCAGCAATTTTTCGACGTCGCACACTCTTTCCGCGATGCGCTTACAACTCGATTTCCGCATTCCCTGACGCATCTTGAAGTTCGCAGCTGGCGACAACACCACATCATCACACGAATCCTTGTTCCCAATGCGCCATTCCCTTCAGTCAATTGGAGCATCCCAACAAGGAATCGTCGCGAAAACATGGCGACCAACGAGCCAACGTCTTCAGTCGCGCCGGTGATTGCGGCGACGGCGCCCGCTGACGAGCCACCGAAAGAAGCATCCAAACAGACTGATGGCGGCGACGACTCGGACTGGGAGTACGAGTACTCGACTACAGAGACCGAGGTCAGTCGTCGCATTGAAGCGAGCAGGAAGATACAATTGCTAACCATCTCAGACATATTACCTGACCGTCGATCTCTCCATACCACAGCTTCTCCGGCGCAAACGGAATATGCCAGTGTCAGGACGAGGCGGATATCACTACAAACACTGGGCAGGCCCTACCACTAGGAAACCCGACGAACCGAAACACCACCGCATCATGTCAGAAGACGACCAGAATGATGACGAGCCGGCGGACGAGCCCGAGGACGACGAAGAGATTGAACAAGGACAGGCGGACCCCATTGTAGACAGCTACGACGCAGATTTCGAATCTGAACAAGCTGCCGAGATCCAGATCTTGGATCTGCATTCGGACAAGCCCATGTTTGCGTACAAGGGCAAAATCTTTGAGGGGCAGTGGACACGAAACTTGGGTACAGAAGTAATCTTCGCCGAACACGAGCACGAGGATCCGATTCCGGCTCTGCGACATCTTCCCGGCGGTGTCGACATGCTGGCGGCCAGCTGGTCGAGGATCAACACGACGGAGAAGCGCCTCGAGCCAAAACACGAGGCGGCGGCGAAAGACGACCCTCTCAAGGACATCAGGAGGCAGCACGGAATCCATATACCCATCACAGCAGACAAGACGGGCGAGCGCAAGCGTCAAACGAGGTTTTTGGAGAATTTAATGGCTTTAAAGGTCAAGAGAGGCGAAAAGGACGAGGTCACGGTGTATGCCCACGCCGCGCCGAAGCCGACGGACATAGGTTCGAACAGCCGAAGAAAAAGACGGAAGCCGTTGCCGGATGGACCAAAGAAACGTGCAAGCCGGGGCGGCGGCGGCGGTGTCCGCGGGAGAGGTGGCTCTTCCGCATTGGGAACGGGTGGTTCTGAACGAAATGAGCTACAAGGCAGCAGCGTTGCAGAGGCTGCGGCGATCTCGCGGGATGGGGCAGCGTTGTCCACGCCAACGCCGACGACATGGGCGAACCTAGATGGACAGGGCGGAAGAGCGGAGAAAGGTTCGGGCCCGAAAGATGATGACGAGGCCAGCGACAACGACTATGAAGAAGACGACGACGAGGACGGCGGAGATTAGGAGTAGGCCTTGTCAGGAATGTATCCATCAATCTGGGATACGAGTTTCATCGGACCATATAGACTTTGCGTTGGCGATGGTATATCTCGCAATCCGGATTCAGCGTATGCTGTTGCCTGTTGGTAGCGATGAATGAAGATGGAGCCCAGATAGGGCGAAGCCTCGGATGAGACGGCGAAACTATGTGACAGCCGTTGCGAGGCTCTACTGCGGTAGGGCCCCCTTTCCGGTGTCGGGCTCTCCTAGGCTGGCACATGGAATTTTGGGAGAGACATGCATGGAGGCATGATGTGGTCAGGCTGACGAGAGGTCCTGGGGAGACTCGTACGGGGCCGTAGTGTGGCCGCGGCAGCAGTGCGAGTACGGCTAAACCTAGAGCTAATGAAGTATGATCATCCAAAAGAATCCTGCGACACCAGCACTGGTTCACGAACTATGGAAAAAATGTCAGTGGAAAAAATGTCTGCCCCGTGAGAAATACGTGGGCTGAAAACCGTTGGCCGCTAGGTACAGATACTGGTGCCGGTAGGTGGTAGTCAGCGAGAAAATCGGAGATTAGTTGGGAATGCTTCTAGAAAGATTGCCTTCCTTTCAAAAAGGGGAAAATAGGCATGCCAGAAAAGCCTCAGAATGGAGTGTTTCCTACTACTTACATAATAGCTCACGGGTTTCGGCAGATGGTTAGTGAGCCCTGTGTCTGCAAAGTCATCCCGGCACGTCACTCAGGAAGCCCACCCGCCCACTGCAAGCTCACATGTGGACGGGGAGCAACCTTTACTGAAGGATACACAGCAAGACGACTCGTGATGAACGGATGGCTACAGGGATCGGCTGCTTGCCGTACTATGGTCATCTAGCGACATAGGTAGAGGCGATGGTACGGTGCACTGCGTACGGATACATCAAGAGTTAAAGACAAGGCGCGAGTAAAGGCAGGGCGGTGTAGAGAGTCAGCAGCGTGCGGAACTGGAGCTTTACGACTCCTCGTGGGAATCTGCAGGGATCTGGTTGGTCCCGCAGATCGCTGAACCCTCCCGGTCTGCTGCCTGCATGAGGTACCGGGAACCTTGGCGCCATTCTCTTCGTCTTTCTTTGGAGAGATACCTGCCTCATCCGGGCGATCACAGTAGATAATGCATGTATCTCTGCTCTAGTCAGGAAGTGTATCTAGTGCCCCCGTTGCAAGGTACTCTGTACGGATACAGAAAAGGATTCAAAGAAAGAATCCAGATCCCTCGGTCGGGTGGCGGGCTGCATCAGAGATAGACCCAGCCAGTAGTGGAACATCCATCCGCACCCCCCTCCAATCCCCTCCCGTCTGCCGTCCTCCCACGCCCAGGTTCATGGCCGAATCCAGCACGAAGTAACCGTACGTCCCTGATGATTGATGGCCCTTGCTTCCCTGCTTCCTGCGGGTTGCTGCCGCTGTCGCTCTCGCCGTCCGCCGCCCGCGCATACCGCTGACCGCATACCGCTAGGTTCCGTCCCAAACCCCAACCCAAAGCTTCCTTCTTGCTTGCACTGCTCAACTCTTTTTCCCTTCACACACTTGCGCCTAACAAGCTTTCTCTGTCCAACAACACAAAACACTTGACCAAGGGGCCTCAGCGTCCGACCGGCCATGCATATCCGCTCGCACCTCCCACCTTCGACATCTCAATAGTAGACTACACCCTACATGTACACTTGGTGATGCTGTGCGAGACCCCGCTGGCTTTCGCAAGACGTGCCGGCATCCCGAAGCCCCTCCGAACCATCACTCAGCCTCCATAACTGCGAATAGCTTATTACCAATCGATCCCGGCGCCCTATCTTATACCGGCACCCTTTTGAGGCTCTTTTGTTATTCTCACGAACCCAATCCCTATCCTGCGAGGCCTGGAGCCACCAACGAACTTATCCGATGTATTATCTACGCCGCTTCACCATCTTCCTCGCCTTCTTGGTGTCGGTGTCGTTCCTCGCATGGTTCCTGCCCCGCTACCTCAACCCAAACCCGCCAGACCCGGCCAAGCAGCGCGAGGATAAGAAATGGGTTAGCAGCAGCCCGTACTGGCTCGATCGTCAGGCCTGCCGTTGGCTGAGTCTCTGCGGCGTTCATCATCTCTCATGGGACCCAGCTTCTCTCTTCCCCTACAAGAACGACTCCGACGCCGGTGATTTGCGGTTGGAGCTTAGGTCACTTGATGGACGCCATTCTGGGTGGGAGACGGCTCCCAAGAAGCGCTCGCCGCGGGACGACAAGGAAGAGAGGAGGAAGGTCTTGAAGGAGATTCCCGACTATGTTCTCAAGTATGCGCCGCTAGTCCACCTCTACTCGGGCGAGAACTTCTGGCCCGCCGACATTGCGGAACACATTCGGCACATGACGCCCTACTTGGAAAAAGAGGCGTTGAACCGCTCCCTGATTCTGTCGGATTTGCACATGCTTAACAAGGAGGATGGCATGGTTTACCTCACCAGCGATGACGATGTCGAGCAGAGACCCGAATGGCTGCACAGTCACGTTGGCATTCCCGAGCCATGGAACGATGATGAGGACGACGGCGACAAGGACGAGACGCCCAACAGCCCAGTTGGGGACTCTGAACACCCACGACATGAAACTGAGGATACGACGTGGTTCGACGTATCTCGCGATCACCCCGTTCACCGCATCTCGGACCCTCGTCGCTACCCACAATTCCCAGAAGGCTCCGCCCGCGCCGCCGGCTTTCAGCACCGCCGCCGAGACCAGGGCCAGAAGCCCATTCCCGACACGCCAACCCACAAGCCCGATCAGGAAGGCTACTCAAAGGCCCCGGCCGTCCTCGTCCTCGTCGACAAGGGCTCCGGCATCGTCGACGCCTTCTGGTTTTTCTTCTACTCGTACAACCTCGGTCAGACGGTCCTGACCATTCGCTTCGGCAACCACGTCGGCGACTGGGAGCACTGCATGATGCGCTTCGAGAACGGCGTGCCCCGTGGCATCTTCTTCTCGGAACACGAGGGCGGCCAGGCTTACACGTACAATGCCGTCGAGAAGCGGGGCGAGCGTCCCGTCATCTACTCCGCCGTCGGCTCCCATGCCATGTACGCGCAGGCCGGCGAGCACCCGTACGTGCTGCCTTTCAAGATGCTCAAGGACGTGACCGACAAGGGACCCCTTTGGGACCCGTCAAAGAACGCCTACACCTACTGGTACGACTACGTCCAAGATCTGGACGAGGACCTCGACGACGACCTCGATGACGAGGTCGACGTGGCTAGCGGCCACCGGAAGGAGAACCCCACCAGTCTGTTCCCCACGGCCGAGAACCCCGACGCGCCGACGTCATGGTTCCATTACGCCGGCCCTTGGGGCGATAAGCTCTACAGCTTGGCCGATATGCGCCAGTGGCGCTTGTTCGCGCAGTACCACTACGTCTCCGGGCCGTTGGGTCCCAAGTTCAAGCGGCTCGATCGCGAGAAGCTCTGCATTACCACCCGCTGCCGGATCTTGGATAGCTTAAAGCCCGGACAGACGTGGTATAGTTAGATGAGTTTCCTTTTCGTTACAGGTAATGGTATAGATGAAGTAAAGAACAATCAAACCTCAATGAAACACGTTATATTCAATTGACGCCTTGCATGCATCCATTGAGTGATGAGGCCGGCATACAAGATCACTTCATGTATCCAAGTAGAACGGGAGGAATGTACAAAAGTGTGACATCTGCTCTCTATTCCAGAGCGCTCAACGGCCCACAGACCGATTTCAAGTCTGGACATGGCAACTTGTAGTCGAAACAAGGTTGCCAGAAAGAGATTGCATGTTACTTGACCCCGGCAAGTACCTTCCTATATCCGACTCCCCGACCGCTCTCGACGGGACAGTTCCGTGCCGCTCCGATCCGAATAGCACGACCAACCCGGCCTCATGCACGCCATCCAGTCTCTGTTACCTAGGTCCCTCAGACCTTGTCAAGTCTATCCTTCCCGTCACGAATATGCATCCAGAAGGTCTTAGGTAAAGTAACATACGTATCGGGCAGCAAGACTATAAGAGCCCCCGCGTGTCAGGTTGGCATCCCGACCCGCCGATAAATGGAACGAGGCTCTCCTCTTGTTCCGTGCCCTGAATGATTCTTGGCAGACGTATCGAAGCTCCAACTGGATTCGTATCTCTTACAAGTTCCAGACGATTTCTGTTATTCACAGCCAAGAAGTCGGTGTTCAGTGTTACTCCTCGGATGCTGCGTAGTCCCGCCCTGGTAGCCGGCTACTCGCACGATGGTACGGCTACTAGCTTACATCTGTTTCTTTGGCGCTCTTCGCATGAGTTCGCTCTGGATAGAAGCACTCGACTCGCTGGAGAGCAAGCTGGCCAAGGTAAGTCTGATGGGCTTAGCCAAGCCTAAATCAGGCTTCAAAGTCCAAGTGCGGTATCCGCCATCCAAAGAAGGTGCCTTGTCAGAGTCCAGGGCACCAAGACGGGGGAAACCACGATGATCAGACGTCTCTTGAAATACCTGACAGATTGGCCAGAAAATACGAAAAAGAAAAATGAGCTGCCTGTGGCATTATGTAGGACCACCAAATTCGAACTCGCAACCTTTGCAGGACCCAATTACACGTTAATATTTCCTTCACTAGGTCATAGACACATTCAGGCGGTTCTCATGCCCTCCCTCTGGCAAATTCTGTCCTACAGATGTATGGGTCGAATGGTCGTGGTGTATTCGTGGATGTTTATTCCATATCGCACGTGACCTATTCCGGTATGGACCAAGCACTGAAGGAATCTCATCAGTTCATCGTTTTATCACTCAACTCTAGAGTCTGTAGAAGGGTTCATTTGTAAACACCTTTCCTGGCTGAAGTCGTACTATCTTATCTTCAAGGACCCAAGTCGACCCTGAAGATCGCTAGGTTTCCACAACACCACCTCAAGTCATAACCAGTCACCTCAACATCAGCGATGTGAAATCAACTCAAATCATGAAGTCACTATATAGTCAGCCTAGACGTACCGGTCGAAAAAATTTGAAGTCTGACGAGATTCCGCAGCCGTCTCAAGCTCAACCGAATGCGTCCAGACGCGGCTTTCCCTCCTATGAACCCCCTATTCATAATCACCTATGTGGTGGTTTTTTTCTTCCCGGCTTTACAGGCGCAAAAGATCGGCCTTAACGGGATCAGGCTTTCAAGGGAAATCACACGATACGGTACACTTTATAATTACACAAAACGCGCAATGTGCCCCAAGCGCGCGCTCAACGATAATTACCTGTATGCAACCTCGATTATTGAACAATTTTCCGTCAAGTAACATCATTCATGGAAGGGACTTTCAGCATTGATGGCCTTGGAATGTTGACTTGCGAGTTGCAAGTCTAGGCCATATCCTTTTGCCAAGACAGGCAATTTAGCCATGACTCGAGACGAAGTCTTCGCGGGTTCTTATATTTGGCGACACGCCGGCCTCGACGACGCTCTTGTGAATTAGTATATTAGAGTTCCTCAGAGCCCAGCTCCAGCTCCATCGGCATTGGTGTTGCATGTTCAGCCAAGAAGAAAGGCCCAGTGACTTTTAGATTACAGGATGTTGGCACAGGAGCAAAGACTCACTTAGACTATTCTGTAGATAAAGTAAGTACTCTTTTTCTTCCAGTTACAGGTCCGCTCATCTAAAATCTCATTTCAACATCGTAGCTTAGGCTACATAGAGTTAGCTCGTGGTTGTTGGAGTGATTCACAACCGCAGTGCCGGTATGTCTACTCACGAAGTGTGAGCTTTCTCTCACTTGCCCGATCCAAGACATATTTAAAGCCTCCTTCCCCACGATATGAGAGAGGTATACGGCGTAACACGGCGTAACCTCCAAGCCATCTCGAACGCACAAATACCTTAGATCCTCGAAATCGACATGAAGCTATCCGTCCTCGCCGGCATCGCCCTCTTCAGTAGTTCAGCTCTTGGCTTGATGAGATGGGAATGCAGACAGACACCGAACTCTGGTTGGGGCGTAAGTCACAACCTCGTCTTCTATATTCCTACGACCCTCATTCTTTCAGTCATTTGAAAGCAACTAGCATGATTCGGTCAAGACTAACTTCGGAACCTGATAGGCGTCCAACTGCTCTCCAGATGACCAACGTCAGTGCACCACTTCAGCGTGTAACAGCAACGTGAGTTCCATTACATGACGATCGCGCATGCTGCGAATAGATGATTAATAGTGTGAACAGTGTCAGCGCGGCGCTCCTTGGAGCAACGCCCGCGGATATGCGTAAGTCTTACAAGATTCACATTCAGCGGCCTCAATTATTGCCGAGCCTTGTTTCTAGACATGCTGACGATATTTGCCTCCCTGCAGAAACGTAGACCTTGGGGATGCTTGCGACTGCTATTGCTGGAATTGAGGCGGGGACATATGACTGCGAAAAAAAATGTATTCATCATCAGAAGGTCATTATAAAAACAATACGAAAGAGTCCCAATCTCCATCTCACGCTTGCTTGACAGCCACGATATCAACATCCCGATACCCAACTTCTACTTCCAAAGCAACATCTTCTCCCGATGAAAGTGTTCGTGACAAACTCAGTTGTCCATCAATAAACACATTCCATGTCCCAGGCCCCAAGTTCCTGAGAACAGGCTTGATTGTCCTCGTCGAGCCATCCCACGACCTAACGGTAAGCACCAGCATCCTCTCCTCCTCGCTCCAATCTCCACGCAAGAAGTCAACGCCATCAGCCAAAGTGACTGCATCAACAAACGGCCGCGTCGAGACGTCTTGCGCAGTCCAAGGCCGCTCCCAAATAATCTTCTGCCCGTCCTCGACATTCAACCTTGCGTACCCGATCGCCGCGTTGCCGGAAAACGGGTCCATGTGCGTCCACCTCATCTCCTCGTCAAACGGCTCGTCGTTGCGCGGGTAATACAGCCCGCCGCGCTCCCACTTGGACCCCAACTCTTCGTCCGCGTATTTGAGCAACGCCGTCAACTCGGCTTCCTTGCCTAGCTCGGAGAGCCACTGGACAACATACCCAAACGTGGGCTTGGTATACGGAAAGCCTCCCTTCTTACCCGCCTCGGCCTCCTTGGCGTTGCGCACCGCCCGTTCGAGCGTCTCGCGCGAGTCCGGCGCCGCGCCGTCCTCCTTGACCAGCTTTCTGAACTCGTTGCCGACGACAGGTGGGTTCAGACGAACCTCGCCTCCTCCCGTGTTGGTGACGTACCCGAGGGCCTGGTCTTCGTAGTGAGACCTCACGACGGACCCGTTCCACGAGTTCATAAAGGCCGAGCCCCACGCCGTCCATGCGGGATCTTTGGGGCGGATAGTGAAGTCCTGCTTGACCATCCACGCGTCAGGCAGGAGGCCATCGGAGCCGACGAGCCCTTTCTTGTCCCATGCTGCTTTGTACTTTAACAAAACGTCGTCTACGACCGAAGTGCCCAGACGAGCGTCTCTCAGACGCATCCCGATCAGCTTGCACAACTCGTCAGCGCACAACTCTCAGTTGTCAGTAGGCACATGTTGGTACTTACAGGAAACTGGTTGCAAACCACAAACACCATGTTCGGCTCACAGCATACCCCAATCCACCCGTTCCCCTCCATCTCCTTGAGGATAGCATCCTGCAAGCTGCCCGCGTCATACGAGAACTTCTCCGGCCCCATCCCAAAAAACAACGGATTCCACAAAAACTCCAACGATCCCGGCCTCTCAAACTCGTCATCGTCAAACAACATCCCATACAACGCCACCATCATCAGCAAATGCCCGCTGTACATGATATTCTCCCTCACAACGGGGTCAGCCCACGGCTTCCTCAGCTCCTTCAGGTCCGGATCGGTCGCGACCCCGGCCATGCTCGTGTTGAACCAGTACGCCCACACGGCGCGCAGGAGCATCTTGCGGATCGTCTGGCGCATGAGCGTCTTGTAGACGCTGCGGAGGGCCGGTTGGCGGTGGAAGTGCGCGGCGCCGGCGGCGTAGGCCATGGTCGCGAGCTGGTAGCGGTAGGCGTCGAGGAATTCCTGGAGGGGCTCCTGCGAGCCCATGAGGTTCCAGTCGTTGTCGGGCTGGGTGACGAGGTTGTGGAAGTGGCGGAGGTGGCCTGCTTGTTCTCGTGTTAGTTTGGGGTGTTTGGATAGGTCTGGTGCTCGTGGCTGCTCCTGAGTTTCGGTCGTCATTGTGATGGTGGTGGTTGAAGACATGGCTACGATTCGATTCGGGTTGCGGTTGTGAGAACAACGGAAATAACTAGTTTTGGTTTCTACAGAGGCGCGAAACCGCTACATTTGACCAATACATCACTTCTGTAAGAATGCTGCGGACATCATAAATAAGTCCCAAAAGATTCACGGGGTTCGGATTTGAAACGGGGCTATCCGCCCCATGATCGGCCGTAACAAGCCGGACTACACCGGACCGTGGACCCCGATCAACCGATGTCAGACGAGGACGGACTTACGACGACCTGGAAGGAGTCGAAGGAACACAATCAAGTCTCCATCGGCACTACTCGGCAGGGGTGTTGCATTGCCCGAGCGCCCGGGAGACTCGATGTTTTCCTTCCTGTTGGAGAAGAAGTTGCCGCAGGCGCGGAGTTTAGTCGTAGTCGAGCGGGGATATGTCTCCTGTCAGCATCCTCCTTGCGACTCCCCCGCGTTGGCTGGTTTTCTGTCTTACTAGAAGGATCATTGTTGCCTAAAGAGGGCAATCGTAGTTGTAACGACCAACCGAGGACAGCTACGGATATTTGAGCTGTCAGTTATAGGAACCCCTCTACAATACCTCAGTAGGGTGGCTTTCACTCGATAGTAATCGTGGTCACGCTTCTCGGTGAGGAGGTTTATGTGTAATGTGTGCATTATCGAATTCAAGAAACCTCACTTGGACGTCTTGTCAATGTGATCGAGAAAGGACGCCTGGATTTTTATCTGCAGGTGAACGGACGCTTAGGGCAAGAGGAAGAACATCTTCTTTATTGCTTCATGATACCATAGCAAGCATATATTACCAGCCATGGGCTTTTCATAACCTCACATGCTCATCTTCAAAGATCAAAAGAACTTGCTTGCAATGCGTTGGAATAATGCAACTCCTGAAGTGTCCCTATCGGCAAACCATGAAACACACAAATCCTCACCCCGTACCCAAACTCCAAATTCAGTCCCAGACTCCGTCCAAAGCCTTTTTACCCAGTCCGTCATTGATCTTCGGTATCCATCATTGCAAACTCCCAGACAGTTCAAGCCGTAGCTCTGCAATACACCATCACCACCAAACACGACCTCCTCACTCAAACTTGCCCGACCCAAAGAGGCCATTGACAGCCTGGTGTCTCCTCTCAGCACCCTTCCACTTCCTCGCCTCCCTCCTCTTCTCATTCTCCTGGATCGCCGCTCGGCGCTCATTCTCTCTCGCCAAAGCACTAACACCCGACTTCTTGCTCGCGTTCTTCTTGATTTTGCCATCGTCGCCGAAACCACCGCCACCGCCGCCACGAGCAGAGAAAGCCGCAGCGCCGCCGTTGCCGGCTCCGCTGCTACCGATACCGCCACCGATACTGCCGCCACCGGAACCCTGCGAACTCAACACAGACGAGTTCGTCGTCGCGCGCCGGAGCAGTGCAGGGACCCTGAAGCTGCTGCCGCCGCTAGAAGCCGAGGCGGCGGCGTTTGGCATAGCAAAGGCGAGCTTGGAGGACGTTGTCGACATGTTGGAGGATGACTGCCGTTTCATGGTGAGGCGGTCGACGACCACCTGACGCGAGTTGGTGCGGCGCGGGTTCTTGCCCGGGGAGCGGTTCTCCTTGTTAGAAGGTTGCGCCTCCTCGTCATCCGCCTCGCTGTCCGAGTGCGGGTCCGTGGCAGGAATCACTTCGTTCAGGTCCTCGAGCAGACTCGAGACGGACTCGCGAATCTCGCCCAGGTTGGAGGGCCTCTTGCCGTCCTTTGTCCTCCGCGCGTTGGTGGTGGACGGTACGTTGGCAGCGTTGGAGGCGAGAGGTGCACGTTGCGCTCCGGGCTGGCTGTCTGGGACAGTGGTCTGCTGCTGCTGTTGCTCTTGAGACTGCGAGTCCTCCGTCTCCGTTGGCTCGGGCGCGAAGTCGAGGAAGTCCATCTCCTCGTCACTGCCGCGGTCCTCAATGGTGCGGAGGAAGGCCTGGTTGCCGGGTTTCTCGGCAATTTTCTTGATGCGCTCATCCGCGAAGAGGGCCTGCTGCATTTTCTGGAACTGACGACGCTTCAAACGCCGACGAGCCTCGCCGCCGTCGTCTGAGTCAGAGAGGTCATAGTCGGCGCCGCGCTTGCGGCGGAGCATACCGGTTGTGATGTCATGGAAGAGCTTGTCGACCATCTTCTCATCGCTCTGACGCTCGTTGTCCCTGAGAATTTTGTTAGCTGAGAATACTAAAGCCAAGACAGAGATCACTTACGCGTGAAGGGCAGCAAGTTTGCGCTCATCATCAGCAGTCATGCCGTTCTCGTCGTCAATCATCTCCTTGACGGAGGCAGCATCACTGTCGTCATCGCTGTCCTCGCCATCCGCACCTCCAAGTCCTGCATACTCATCCTCGGACTCGTCGGCCTGCTCCTCCACCATCTCCTTGGCCTTGCTCTTCTTGCGGTTATACTCCTCCGCCTTCTTGAGCTGCTTCTGCTTCTTGACAGCCTCCTTCATGACGTTGAAGGCCGTCGTTTTGAAACCGAATTCGTCTACCTCGGGGCTGGCCCTGGAGTCCTCGACATCTTCGTCATCCGCGACAGCGGCTACGACGTCAATCTTGCGGCGCAGTTTACCCCTGCGGACGAGGGGCGAATCTTGCACTGAATCGACCTCGGCGTCCCTGTCCAGGACCATGGTATCCACGGTCGACGGGGGCGGCTCGACGAAGCGCTGCTTCAACGGCGTGTAGTCCTGCGGCCCGGCATCCTGAGTGGCATCCATAGAAGTTTGAGTGAACGGGTCGTCGTCGCGCAAGAGGCTGTCAAATCCACGCGCTTGGGATTGGGTGAAATGCAGGCGCACGCCCTCTGCGGAATCAGGCTGCGTGTCGGCTCTCTGGGTATCACCGCCCTGGCTGTCAAGAATCATGCTGTCGTGTTGTTGAGTAAGACCCATCAAGTTGGAGTCGGGAAGGCTGTCGAAATCCGGCATAGGTGACTGAGAGGGGATCGTACCAGGAGCTGCCTGGCTGTCGTCCATTGTACCAGCGAAGATCTGGGTCAGACCCAGACCAGCGGCACCCGTAACGGGCAGTCCGGGAATGAATGTCTTCTTGGCAGAGCGCAATACCGAGGTGGGAACGGCGGGTGATTTGGTGTTGGGTGCAGCAGGGGATTGTTGGGTTGCAGTCCTGGGTCTTGGCGTCGCTTCGATTCTGTCCTCGTCTTCATCATCCGA